CGCCATTCTTTTGAGACACTCAAAGCGGCACTCTTGTCCGCCGAGGTGTTACATATTTACGACCCGCTTCTAGCTACGCGCGTCACTACCGATGCGTCGGGCTATGGCATTGGGGCCGTCCTTGAGCAGCACGATGGCATGGACTTGCACCCGGTCGAGTACTTTAGCAATAAAGTACCTCCCGTGCATTCGATCGACGACGCACGGAAGAAGGAGCTTCTTGCCTTCGTCCACGCCCTCAAGCGTTGGCGACATTTCCTCCTTGGTCGGGAAGCATTCTGATGGGTAACGGATAACAATCCGTTGGTATTCTACAAGTCGCAAGACACGATCAACAGTACCATTGCCCGTTGGATGGCTTTCATCGACCAGTTTGACTTTTTCCCCGATCACATTCCAGGGAAGTCAAACCGTTTTGCGGACGCCCTCTCACGGCGACCGGATCTTTGCACCGCAGTCTACTCTACCTTCGAGATCGACGACGACTTGCGGGAGAGCTTCATCCGCGGCTATCAAGCCGACCCCCACTTTCGCGACAAGTACACGAATTGCTCCTCTCCAAATCCGGTGCCTTCGCATTATCGGATCCAAGAGGGCTACTTATTTGTGCATTCACGGGGTAAGAATCTTCTTTGTGTGCCGAATGATTCACACTTGTGCACACGGCTCCATGCGCCCGCCTCCGGACATTTTGGTGTCAACCGTACACTTGGCCGACTTCGCCAGCGGTTCTATTGACCCGACCTTCTCAAGGACGCCACCCGCTATTGTGAGTCGTGCGAAGTATGTCGGCGTTGCAAGTCACGCAACCATCGTTCGTTCGGCGAGCTACACCCACTACCAGTGCCCTTTGGGCGACGGGAAGCAATTGCTATGGATATCACCGGCCCCTTCCTGAAGCACAAGACCAGCGTTGATGGGATCCTCACGGTCGTCGACCGCCTCACCAAGTACGCCATGTTTTTGCCTTGCCGCGAGTTCGGCTCGCCATCCGCAAACCGATGGTCAAACGGAAAGGGCACATCAGACTGCTCAAGTCCTTCTCCGCACTCTCATCCGTCCCGACCAGGTTGATTGGGTTGAGCGCTTGCCAGACGTTGAGTTGGCTTACAACTCATCGATCCACCCGGCTATCGGGATGTCGCCGTTCGAGTTTGAGCATGGTTCACCCATCTCATCGCCGCTGGACGCTACTTTGCCGCGCACAGCCGAAAGCGACGACCATCTTGCGTTCCTTCGTCGCATGCAAGAGCTTCTTGTCAAGGCACGGGATCAGATGTCGAAGACGCAAATACGGATGAGCCGTCAAGCCAACCGCAATCGCCTTCCTTGCCCGTTCAGCGTCGGCGATCTGGTTTGGGTCTCCGCAACGGAGTTCAACCTTGAGCAAGACATCTCTCGCAAGCTCCTTCCCAAAGTGGATGGGGCCTTGGCCCATTCTCTCTGCAGCTGGTGATGATCCCGAGGGGCCTTCATTCCACATCGCAGTGCCACCTCACTTGCCCATCCACACGGTGTTCCACTGTTCCAAAGTTGCTCCTTTTGTTTCAGCGGAGTCCGACGAGTTTCCCGGTCGACGTACGCAAGACCCTCCTTCCATGGATGGATTTCAGGAGGCCGGCTACATCATCACCGACCGGCGCCATGGCAACAAAGAAACAAAGTTTCTACTTCACTTTTCCTACTGCAGCCACAAGGCTGACCGTTGGCTGACGCGTTCGGAACTGCAGGCCACAGCCCCCGCCGTTCTCTCACGCTATCTTAGCAAAAGGAAGAATACGCCAAACACTCCAGCTCCTCGCCATCCTCGCTACATTCCGCCATCGGATCGGCAGCTTCGCCCGCGCCCCGGCTCATCTTCATAAGGAGGGGGGCGTGTTACATGCTGAAAGCCTACACACGGGCCCCTCACGGGACCCGAGGTTGGAATAGGGCCCCCACGTCGCGTCACCGCAACCTGAAGGCCCTATGGCATTTTTACTTGGGCCTGCATCAGAAAAACGCCAGCTTTAGATTATTTTTATAGTCTTTTATTTTATTTATTTGCTGCTGTTTTTCTAACGGTTGTACTGTTGTCCGTTTTGTGGCCAGGTACACGTTTTAGGACCAGGGCCAGATTCAGGCCCAGCGGCTGAGCTCCTAAAAACGTTTGGACCTTTTCTTTTGTTTTCGAACAGTTTTTGACCTGTTCGGACCCAGGCCGACGGTAAGGCCGGGTACGTCCGCACAGGACCGGTTTTTGCTAGGTACCAGGAAACTAAATCCTGGACAGGGCCTGGACGTCCGGTAGGGACCCAGGCAGGCCGTTTTAAGCCAAGGACTGAACCAGTTTCAAAGCCTGCGATCTGGACCGTGGATCAGATTTTGATCTGCACGGCCCAGAACGCAGGCAGTGGGTTTTCAGTCCTGGCCCAGCGCTACATAAGCTGGGCCGTTGCCCAGTTCAGGGGAAGGTACCAAGAGAAATCCAGCGATATGCTGGTTCAGGAACTTGGCTGCTGCGCTATTTTGGAGACTCCCTGCTGCGCTATTTCGAGACTGCAGCTGCGCTGCTCGTCGGCCATGAGGCACAGCGCTGGAGGAGTCCAGCGCCGAGAAGGGTAGTGGAGTTAGAGAGAGAGAGAGAGAGAAGAGGACTTACCTGCCCAACGCCATAGCTGGCTCCGCGGTACCTGCAAGTTCAGCCATCGCCAGGTAAGTGCAGAAAGCACCTAGCTTTCTTCTTCTTCTTCTTCTTCTTCTTCTTCTTCTTC